GTTAGTGGTATTTCAGTCCAAGTCACTTTGAATATAGATAATGGAGCTCTCTTAACACATGCTTTTGTTTTTTTTTATAAAGGCTATATTGCACATTTTGAACAAAAATCATTAATCCCTCAGTCCAAAAACCTATCATGTTTCTGAACATTACAATGCTAAGACATGACAATGCTGCTGATGCTTGCGTAAAATTGCTAGAACAGATGAAATTGTGCCCCTTGATTTAACAGATTCTGGAGATCTACAATTGATTTATTTTCGATTTAGTTAAGATTAGAAAAATAAGTCAGAATCTCCCAAAGCTATGACAATATGCCCTGAGGTTTTCAAAAGTGTATAAAAAGTAATTTGAGTACATGTAGGCATCAAAATTTAATAGAAATAATAAAAATAAAAAACTGCTTGTTGGTTGTTGACAGTTTCTTTTTCCTTTCAGATAATTTTTTTTAATTTTTTTTTTATATAAAGTCAAATGAGAAATGAATGTGACCTAAAACTTACAAACATTTTAATCACAAATGGTTTATTGATGCTAAGGCTTTTCTGTGCTCTCAGTAACCTCAAAACATTGAGAAGGTTTTGGTTGAAATAAATCTGACTTAGCGTTAAAATGGGACATTTACAAAAAACAGGAAATAAAGGAAAAGTGTCCCCCAAAGCTAAATTTATTCAATAAAATCTTACAGAAACATAAATGATTTCAACAAGTCCTTGAATGCGCACACAGACTCCCATACGCACGTAAAACAGGAACGTACATCAAGGGGTCATTATACTTTTCCTGCCTTTAGCCTTTCCCTTTTGTTTACTCCTTCCTTACTCTGTCTCTCCTCCATCTTTCTCCCTCTGTCGCTCTCTCAATCTCTACTTCTGTCTCTCCTCTCTGTGAAGGTCATGCAATTGATTTTCCTCTGTCTATTCATTTTTCAAGACTGGCTTTGAGACGTGGGAAGCAGACAAAAGCCACTCTGGCCCCTCCTCTCCTCCCCACTCCATCCCTCTTTTCTCCTCCAGCCTTCCACCTTCCTTCCCTCTCCACTGGCCCTCGTCCATCCAGAATCCATCCAAAAGGGAATGTGGAGGAATGCAACCCCCCACCTCCTCCTCTTCCATTCTCACAATACCCCCCTTTCCTTCAGCCTCCTTCGCCTCTTTCTGTCTTTATTCCCTCTACATTTGTCCCTTCCCCTCCTCTCCGGCCTCCCTTCCCTTTCAGCCACATCTCTGACCACATTCCACTAACGGAATTAAAGTCATGCATCACACTTAAAACCCTGCCAATGCATCCTGGGTAGACTTGTTGGAACTGATGTCCGAATTAGCTTTCCATTTTTAGTGCTGACCTCATGGAGGGAGGACAGGCGGCTTGTAATACTCATTGAACATAAAAAAAATATTTCAGATATCAAATTTTGACCAAGTGGTAATCTTGTTGTCTTTTCCTGTTTACAGAAGTTGCCTCATAGCCTATCACTCTTATGTGGTAGATAGAAGACAGTATTTGTTTTATGAGTGGAAAAAAATCAAGATCTTGCTCTCACATTTGTCTTTTTGGGACACTAGTATATAAACATAGAGATTGCTGGGTCCAATGCTAACTCTAAAGTTGCCTGCATATAGAAATAACTCAAACAGGCAGGGTTAAACAGTATAGAGAATTCGGAATTCTTCCAAAAAAGTATTTCAAATACTCTAGACAGAAGTTAGGCTACACTTTAAGTCCATTAAGTGGAAAGCATTTGGTATACAGTAAAATAATACAAACCATTCTAAAGAAATGCATCTTCTTAACTGAAACTTCTAAGCTGCACACTTGGTCATCTACAGGTAATTTATGTGTCAAATATCTAAAGCTAAGACACAAACAGAACCTTTGTGGAAAACAAAATTCCTATTCTCCTCTAAAATTCCAATACCCAAGAGCTGGAACTTATATGTGCAAAATGTTGCACATATACTTCTACTGCGGCAGAAGAGATGCAGTGTCACTAAAGTCAACAAACAATCAAGGATTGATGATAGATTTAGAGCTGATCTTAAAAACAGTAAATACTGACATGCCAATGCATGCAGGAATCTCTAATTGGCTTTCGCAGCTTCACCATATTATGCACAAAAGCATCATACATATCTACAGACCAGAAGGAGAACTTGGTTACATGCCTCGCCCAAGGGCACATCTATGTTTGGCAGAGGAGGTAACTGGAATCAGACCATCAACTTTGTGATTGCAAGGCAACGACTCCTCCAATGCCACAGTCATTCAGGAAGCATGTTTTATAGGTGAAACAACTTTGAGATCTTGATAAATACATTTGATAAATAAATTGAATAAATCTAGCATTTATTTAAAGAGATAGATAGATAGATAGATAGATAGATAGATAGATAGATAGATAGATAGATAGATAGATAGATAGATAGATAGATAGATAGATAGATAG